CAGGTAGGGAGTCCAGATTACCACCTGAGGAATGTTAGATAACCATGGAGGAATGAAGGGGCAGATAACGAAACCAGTCGGTCCAAGATGGCTCGGGTGTGGGCGCTGTGTGGTCTGGGTGCACATGCCCAGGTTGCAGGTTCGATCCCTGGTTGGGGTGTGTGCAGGAGGCAGCCAATCGATGTTTCTCTTGCACATCAATGTTTCTTTTTCTCTCTCCCTCTCCCTCTCTCTCTAAAATCAATAAAAACATGTCTTTAAAATAAATAATCGAGGGTTTTATTTTTCAGAGCTGGGTTGGGGGTGGTAGGGCTTTCTCCAGGTTTTTGAAGTCCTGGCATACAGCCTATCAGATATGCTAAACCTATCCAGAGGCTGCCTTAAAAACAATTCCTGTTTGCAAAAGCCGAGCTGCAGCTGACAAGCTGCTTTAAAGTTATATAACTATGTATCACTGTTTCAATTTCTTAGCGTTGTTTTCCCATTTTGAAACTAATCACTGTATCTGTTTTCAAACTTGTCTGTGAAGTCCTGACAGGTCCCGGGCACCTGCTTCTAGTGCCTCCTGGTCAAATGGACCTATCAGAGCTGTCTGTTGAAAATGCCACTTCTAGGCCCCACCCAGAGCCTGCGGGTTAGGACAGCAGCGGGGAAGGGAGCTCAGGAGTCTGCACTGTAGCAAGCTTCCCAGGTGATCATTTGCAAACTGAAGTCTGAAAACCACTGCCCGAAACAGAACAGGGAGGCAATGCTGAAGGTGAAACCAGAGGCCACAACACGGCTCCTGTGTTGCATCCCTTACACTCCACCAGGGTAAACAGACAGCAAAACCCTGATTCGTCCTCCACTGGGCCCTCCCCACCCCTGGAAAACAAACAAACAAACAAACAACCCACCCCCCCCCCTCCCCAATACTCACGTCCAGCCTGGGGTGGCATTCAATCGTTCAGGTTTGCAGGAGGACAGTCCCGAAGTGATGGGCGCACTGTTTAAGACACACCGCTGCCCGGGACCGTGCTACAGGGAAGAATATAAAGAACGCTGTCAGCCAGATGTTGGCTGAAATTCACCCTACCCTGGGTCTGGGATAGATAACTGGCCCCAGCAGCGAGCAGTCTCAACTCATCCACCGGAGGGGGGGTTTGTTTAACGTCGAGCCACACACACCAAAGCCTTGCACATGGGCTTGAGTGCGAGTGCACACAGACACACACACCAGACATTTCGTGCAGGTGCACTCCAGCTCCCGCCATGGTTCAGGGAGGCAGCCTGGCTACCGGAAGTCATCGGACAGTCATGTGGAGTGCTAGCAGGTGCCAGGAAGTTCCTGGCCTGAAAGTGGTTTGGAAAAGGAGGAACGGATAGGAGGGGCCAAGTTTTGTGCTGTTTTCCAGTGTATATTCCACACCAATTCACCCCTGAGAGTATTATCAGATCCAGCCTTCTGATGAGGAAATCAAGATGCAAAAAAATGATCCGTGACTTCCTTAAGCTGCTAGGATTAAACGCTGACCTAGCTACCCCCGAAGTTCAGGGTCAATGCATTATGCAGAGCCGCCTTAAATTCACAAGCTGAGGGGGTGGCAGAGGGGAGGGGGTCTGCTCTGGAGAGAGGGGAGCCTAAGGTATCTCCAACCAGTGAGAGAACCAAAGCAATTTTTCAAAATATATTTTTATTGATTGAGAGAGAGAGAGAGAGAGAGAGAGAGAGAGAGAGGGATCTATCAGCCACATGTGATACAGCCCAAAAATTGGGCATGTGCCCTTGACCAGGAATCGAACTGGCAACTTTTTGGTGCACGGTACAATGCCCACCCCACTGGGCCACACCAGCCAGGACAGCAAAACACTCTTTTGGCAACTAATTTAATTCACAAGCAATAAATGCTCATCGGAAAGGAAATCAGAAACCACAGACGAGCAATAAGGAAAACAAAAACACACATGGAATCACATCTTGCCCCAAATAACTGTGTCGCGCATACCCCGTGTATTTTTTTTCTAGCGAAATACATGCTTTTTCCTAGCCTACAAGATGATGCAATTTGTGCAATGTATCAAAAATGTAATAATACTGATGTTTGTACGTGGGCAGTTAATGACGCTTACCCAATCCTAATCTTCTGTGAATTTATGTCAACCCATGAAATTTGTTTGCAGGTTCTAAGGGGGAGAGGCCACACCCTTCACTTCTTTTTTGTTTGTGTCCTGTTGTCCTCTGCTCAGCAGCCACTAATACATTTAGGAAGAGTTAGAGTGTTCTTTCTGTCTAAATGCTGGGTTCTGGTGGATGAGGCAGTCTTGCAACAAGAACAACAAAAAAATGTCAGGCTGGCTTTGGAGAATTCGTGTTGTAGCAACTGAGAAAATGATTTTTTTTTAAATGTATCTTAATGCCAAAGGGAATAGCAGCTCTTCTCTGCAGAAAGGCCCAGAATCAGACCTTCCACGTCCCCTCCCCCACTGCAGGGACTGGCCCTCTAAGTGCCCGGGCACCCCCCTCCCAGACGTCCCCTGGCGGAGAGAGTGACAAATAACCTCCTTTGCCTCCCCCTTGGCGTTAACAAGGCTCCCTGTTGAGATGTAGTTAATCACATCAATTAAAAGACTTTTTTACACTTGGCCTTGCCTGCCAGCCACAGGCCCTCTGACCAGGGAAAGGTGGGTACGATAAGTCATATCATAAGATTAACGCATAGTTTTTCCTTTTCCCCCCTCCATCTATGTTTTGTTTTGTTTTTAGTTTTTGTTTCATGTAGACATCATCAACACATGGTGAAACATCCAGATCTTAATAAACAGTTGGATGAGTTTTGACAAGTGCCTAGACCCAAAACACAAAACCACCAAGACACAGAAAGCATTCCCTTCACCCAGACATGTCCTTCCCCTCATCGTCTCTGCCCTCCTTCCAGAGGCAACCTAGCACCAAGGATTACTTCGGCGTTCTCTAAACATTTATAAACGGAATCACGTTGTGTTTAAAGAGGAGTATGGCCTGGTCAGTGTGACTCAGGGTTGAATGTCGACCCAGGAACCACTGGTTCAATTCCCAGTCATGGCATATGCCCAGGATGCCTGCTCCATTCCCAGTAGGGGCTGTGCAGGAGGCAGCCGCTCAATGATGTTCCTCTCTCATCGATGTTTCTATCTCTCTACCCCTCTCCGTTCCTCTCCCTCTAAAAATCAATAAAACATATTTAAGAAAATAAGGAGGAGTGTGAATTATGAGCAAGAACAGGCAGTTCCTAGTGGGAATGAAAAATAGTGCAGACGCCTTGGGAAACAGCCTGGCAGGTCCTCAAAAAGTTACACACTGAGTTGCCATATGACTCAGCAATTCCACTCGGGCATCTATACACGAGGAAAATGAAAACACACGTCCACTCAAAATCTTGGAAGTAAACTCTCAGAGCGGCATTATGCATAATGACCCCCCCCCCCCCCAA